AAGAGGAAGAGGAAGAAGAAGAAGAAGAAGAAGAAGAAGAAGAAGAAGAAGAAGAAGAAGAAGAAGAAGAAGAAGAAGAAGAAGAAGAAGAAGAAGAAAAAAAAATTAGGGTGAAAAAATGAAATCTCTAAATTCATTTCTTTACTTGTGGTGCTGGGGTTTGAACCCAGGGCCTTGTGTATGCTGGGTGTATACTCTACCACTGAGCTCATGAAGTCTGTAGATTGATAACAGGACGGTTCAACAAAACAAAACACAAGTGACTCAGTTGGAAATAAACAGTGAGATGTATGTCATCTTACACAGTACATCTCTGGGTGTCTTCTCACGGCAGCCGCAAACATGGCAATACCAGCTAGGACTCGTTTTAAAAACAGTACTGAGTTTTTGTTTATTTCACACCTAAAATGCATGGACAGACTCTATGTCTTAAGGTGGAGAATAACTGTCCGCTCATTAATGTTACAATCAGGCAGTGTAAAGGGATCCTCCTCAGTCTGGTGGAATAGCATGTCACTGATGGAAAACCAAGGAGGGTCCTGGATAGTTATGGTCTGGAGTTTTTGGCAAAGGCTCTGCTGTCTCGTTTATACATTGCACTGCCGTGCTTCGGCTTTGCAGCGTGGGGCTGGGAAGGTTCTCGAGGGACACAACGTTGGACGAGATATAAATTGCTATCTGACAACTCCGTTCTGAGCGCTCACACTGACATTGAATCTTTGTTCCAAGTCAGTCGTTAGTTCTTGGACAACAACTGCAATAATCTTTAAACATCTGTCTGGAACTGCTCAGAGATTGGCCAGAGGTGTCAAAATCGATTCATTTAGTCAATATTGACTGTTGGTGTATTTAAACATGAAGACACAAATCTGAATAAACCACAGCCCTGGCTGTCAAAGAGATTAAAAATAAAAGGTCAGACAAATATATTAGGGTCTCTTAAGGTCAGTAATAAAAGCATATTCAGTGTGGGGTGTACTCCTGTAATCCCTGCAGTAATCAAGAGGTTTGGGTAGAGGGTTCATCAGGGTCATCTTCATCTACACAGTGAGTTCAAGGCCAACCTGAACTACACGAGACCCCACTGCACATCATAACCCCAAAGTATATTTATTTCAGGTAAATGTCTTAGAATAAACCATATTGCAAATGAAAGCCTTAAACTAGATCTGTCTCTAAAAATCAATGGGGGGGGGGTGTGTCTTGCTGGTGGCATCTAGAATGATCGATCAGTCCAAGAACAAAGAAGAAAGGATTTAACTATGAAAGAGTGGACTAGGCTGTGTGTTCAGAGTCAGAGAACAGAAAAAGAACTCAGAATTGCCATGGATTCTAACTATAAGAACAACATTGACTGCCAAAGGGAAGAAGAGGTCATCTTCAGACAATACACTGTCAAAGTCCAAACTTACCGCTCAGACTGATTTAAATTTAAGTCTTAGCTTCTCTCCTTGGTGTCTAGATTTGGGCAAATGACAACCTTCCCAGGCCTCGGTTTCCTTTTTCATGGAATAAAGATGAAGTAACCTAAGGAATGATGTGAGAACAAAAATTATACATGAAAAGAAAGTACGGTGGCTCACCTGCAATGTCACTAATCTAGAAAGCTGGCATAGATAGAGATTGTGGGTTCAAGGTCAGACTCACCTACTAAGAACACACACACACACACACACACACACACACACACACACACACACGCAAATGAATTCCCACAATGGGTTGTTACTATCATCACCGTGGCTTCTCTGGTGAGCACACAAAGACTGTCTGAAAAATCTCTGATGGGAATGGACAGCCCAAATGATCCAATGTTTCAGAGCATCTCTGTTGCAGTTTCCTCTGAGTTCTGCATCCAGGACAGCCTCAAGGCTGCTGGCTGAGATGGTCCAGCCTCACAGACTACTCCAACCAAGATTTAACCATTATCTTAAATTTTCTCAGGGTCCCCCAAAGGTTACCAGCACCCCCAATCAATAGGAAGTAGTCTAGAGAACTACACCCACATTCCCAAAAGATGCATTATTGTTGTTTAAGGGGGGTTGGTTACAAGTTGTTATTGGTAATGGTCAGAAAAAAAGCTAAACGAAGGAGATTAGATTCAGGGACGTTGTTCTGAAAAGAAAAAGGGAGATATAGAAATGATAGGATAAATAGTGGCACATGCCTTTAATCCCAGTACTCAGGAGGCAGAGCCAGGAGGATCCCTGTGAGTCTGAGGCCAGCCTGGACAGTGAGATCCAGGACAGGCACCAAAACTACCAGAGAAACCCTGTCTTGGAAAAAAAAAGAAATATAGATTAATAGTCATTTATAATAGCAAACTTATAGTCATGTTAGTTAGGTTTTCAAGGTCATATAGAGATGTATTTCAGATAGATAGGCAATCTTTGAACATTTCAAAGACCTACAGAATATGGCATTTAAAAAGGTTTAAGAACTTAGACTTTTCTAGACAGTGAGACACATCTGCTCCTGGCAGCAACAATTACTTCAAAGAGGATGATGGACATTGAAGAAACTCCATATGGAGTTTGTTTTCTTTATGACAAAAGCTAGCCATGTGGACAAAGAAACTGCCCTTGCCTCAATTGCTGGCAGTTACTGTCCAAACTGGACCAGCAGGATGCAAAAACAGGTGATTGCCAATCTTTGCCAAGACAAGGTAGGACAGTCCTTCAAAATTCCCTGCTCCACAGGAAAGTCTGTCAGATATGCTAGGCCTGTAGGCCAAAGATGGATGTCCCAATGTTGCAGAGAAACTTTGGGTGACTCTTTAGGCAGCTTGATGTCCCTGTCATTAGGTAACATTTCATCCTTCTGGAGTCTTTGATGGAGTAAATAGTTTTTGGTTTTTTGTTGTTTTGTTTTGAGACAGGGTTTCTCTGTGTAGCTTTGGAGCCTGTCCTGGAACTCACTCTGTAAACCAGGCTGGCCTTGAACTCCCAGAGATCTGCCTGTCTCTGCCTCTTGAGTGCTAGGATTAAAGGTGTACACCACCTCCACCTGGCTTGAAGACTAGATAGTTATAGTTTTCTTTAGTTATGATAAAAGATAAGTTAGGTACAAAACTTTGAACTCACAAAGATAAGATACATAATAGAGTATTTTCTCTAATTTTGCCAAATACTGTAGTGGGTAGCCATTCCAGCTTGGATCTGGAAGTTCCAACCCCCATTGAGACTCTGGCAACTGTCACGCCTACGAGGCGGGGCCAGGGGAGGTTCCTGGAGACCCGAGAGCTGGATGGGCCAGTGCTCTCTGTGTGCTCTCTCTGTGCCCGGACACTGAACGTTGGAGATGGACCGAGCAGAGCTCCAGAGAACACCGCTGGACTGCAATACACCTTTCCCAGACCCTGCGACCTACATGTCACTTAATTTGTGAGTTACGCCATTAAATAAATATCCTTTTAACTACGTGGAGTGGCCAAAATAATTTCACCAATAAAATACAAATAGACTGGATATTGTAACTGTAATTCTTACTTGATAACTGGTTTTTTTTTTTGTATATAATCTTACTATTTTAAAGTTAAAGCCTTCCTTTTTAATTAGACAAAAAAGAGGGAATGCTGTGGAATAATCCTCTTGTACACCATAAAGTTTTGTTATTCGAACTGGTTTAATAAAATGCTGATTGGCCAGTATCCAGGCAGGAAGTGTATAGGAGGGGCGACCAAACTAAGAATGATGGGAAGAGTGGAGCCAGGAGTCGCCAGCAGATGCAGAGGGAGCAAGATGAGGATGCCATACTGAGAAAAGGTACCAAGCCACATGGCTAAGCATAGATAAGAATTATAGGTTAATTTAAGTGTAAGAGTTAGCTAGTAACAAGCCTGAGCTATTGGCCAAGCATTTATATATTGAAGTCCCCACCAGTAACTGCCTGGTGGAGATTTCTTCCCAGAGTCTGGGAGAAGAAGCTACAAGCAGCTGGCATCTATTCTGCGGCTCGCAGCATTTAATTCATATTCAGCCTCTGAGTTGGTTATTCAGGACTGGGACAAGAAACATCCGTTTACTTGAGAGTACCAAGGCTTAATGGGAGAAGCAAGGGGAAGCAACAAGAAAGAACCGAAGCGGGGCTGGAGAGGTGGCTCAGAGGTTAAGAGCACTGGCTGTTCTTCTAGAGGTCCTGAGTTCAATTCCCAGCAACCACATGGTGACTCACAACCATCTGTCATGAGACCTGGTGCCTCTTCTGGCCTGCGGGGATACATGTTGCACATATCCTAATTGGTCTTAATAAAAACCCAGAGCCCAATATCAGGGTGAAAGCTGAAAGGTCAGAGAAGCAGAGGAAGCCATAACCATCACTTCTTAACCTACCAACTCCTCAGTTCTGAAAGAGTTTCTGTCTCCTGCCTTACATTCCTTTCTCTGCCCAGCCATATCACTTCCTGTCTCAGCCTTCCTAGTGCTGAGATTAAAGGTATGTGATCCCAAGTGCTGGAATTAAAGGTGTGTGCCTGGCAGTGTTTCTCTTTTAGGCTGGACTAATCTCTTCCTTGAACTCACAGAGATCCAGACAAATTTCTCCCTGTGCCTGAGTGCTAGGATTAAGGTGTGTGACACCACTGCCTAGCCTCTGTGTTTAATCTAGTGGCTTGTTCTGTCCGCTGATCTTCAGGCAAATTTTATTTGTTCAAAATATCACCACAGATACACGCAGGTAGAACACTGTATACATAACAAATAAATCTTGAAAGAAAAAAAAAAGAACTGAAGCGAAGAAGCATTGGGTTGCCTCTTTCTGGTCTTGGATAGAGTTTTTAAACAACTGAAGAAATGGCCAGCTTCAAGAGTCCAGGGTAGGAGAATCAGCATGCTGGCAGGTACCCTCCTGTTTGTGGTCAGAATGTTTCTTGCCCTGAGAACTTGCTCTACATAGATATATTATCATGTGCTGGGTGGTGGTGGCTTACACCTTTCTTTTTTCTTTTTTGGTTTTTCAAGATAGGGTTTCTTTGTGTAGTGTTGGCTGTCCTAGAACTAGCTCTGTAGACCAGGCTGGCCTCGAACTCACAGAGACACACCTGCTTCTGACCCCCACATGCTGGGGGTGGCTCATACCTTTATTCCTAGCAGATCCCAGGCAGAGGCAGGCAGATCTCTGTGAGTTCAAGGCCAGCCTGGTCTATAAAGTGAGTTCCAGGACAGCCAGGGCTACACAGAGAAGAACCCCTGTCTCAAAAAATATATATAAATATACATACATATTCACATATAACTTATAGATACACGTAATCTGTAAAACAGACATTAACCTTAACACTGGCAACCTGCCTTTAGGGCGGGTGTGTAAGATTAGTAAGCTTGTGCCCATCTGTGCCTTTTAAATAATGAGAATTAATTCAGGTGGTGGGTAAAAAAATTAATGAAAATCAATCTGATTACAAAAGATGAAGAGTGCTTATGGACATTGCAATCGAAGGCCTCGCACCCTGATGTCTAGCTGAAGCTCCAGCCCAGGAAGAGCCCACTGGATTAAAGGTCCTGAGAGAACGTGTTTTTGTGTTTAGTGTTCCACAAGGGCAAGGCGCTGTTCCCAGGTTAATGAGAACTCCTCTTCTTTTCCCAGGCACACACTCCAAAGCTTGGAAGTTCAACAAGCGCCTGAACAGGAGAGACCTTCCGGAAATGCTGCATTTGCACCGAGATGTTGAGGCCCGGTGTGTTTCTCTGGATACGCTGTGGGTTTAGCAGGCAGCCGGCACAGGCACAGGTCACCGGAGCCTGTGAACAGCTTTTCAATGGCCCTCTCTTCCAGGAGTTGTGGCCCTTCCCAGCCCTGCCTCCCCGCCCCGCCCCTCTCTCTGGACGCATCTCTGGGTCCCATCATCACCCGGCGCCGGGCCCTCCCTCCAGGCCCCCCCTCCTCCCTCCTTCCTTCCTTCCCTTCCTCCCTCTCTCCCTCCCTCTTAGCTCCTCCACCAGGAAACAACCGGATCCGGATCCTGGCTGCGGCCTGACCCGTGAGATTCCCTAACCTGGCTGGCGGGCGGGCTTGGAGACCAGCCAAGGGTGGGCGAAAGGGAGGAGCTGGGCTTTTGGGCTGCACTTGGGGGAACCGGCTGTAGAGATGGTGTCGGCAGGAAGCCCGTGGACCCGGGTTTCCCGAGAGGGCAGTCATTAAACATGGAATCGGCCACACAGCTGGCAGAGCGTTGGAGGCAGGGGCCCAGTCCCAGGAGCTGCAATTCCAGCCCCTTCCGGGCCAGACCCAGATCCCTGGCCCTTTTCACCTAGTTCTGCTCTCTCCCTCCCTTTTCCAGGGCTACACTCTGGCCGGGAGGATGAAAGGCCTCAGCTGGGAGCTGCCTGCCACCAGCACTGGGTCCTAAGAGCGCCATCCAGGCTGGGTAAGTGTCCTCTTCCTTTCTGCCCCTACAACCTTTGCTTTTCAGCCCCCCCCCCCCCGGTCTCCTCCCTATCTTGTGCCTCCGCCAGCATCTTCACATTATGCTCCTGGGGGCGGGGGGGGGGGTGTCCTAAGCCTCCTCCTATAGCCCCAAAGGTGTGTACTGTGGGGTTGGGGGTGCAGAGGTGTCACACGGTGCTGTTACGTGAAAAGAATCTGAAGTCGTCTAAAATCAAAATTTCCCGTTGCACACTTAATTTGACATGTTATACGTGGCCAGCTGCTTGTGCCCTGGACCTATCCCATGACTTAAATTCTTTGCTCTTGCTTGTCCCTGCCTAGTTTGGTCTCTGAGCATTTTCACCTATTCCAGGAGCTTGGCCAAACAGGAAATATCCCTTCTGGGTCTCTCTCACTATTTTCTACATATTTATGTCAGTCTGTTATCCTTGCTCCTTTTAGCCGCCCGGATGGCGACCCCAGCCTCAGCCCCAGACACACGGGCTCTAGTGGCTGACTTTGTAGGCTATAAGCTGAGGCAGAAGGGTTATGTCTGTGGAGCTGGCCCAGGGGAGGGCCCAGCAGCTGACCCCCTGCACCAAGCCATGCGGGCTGCTGGAGACGAGTTTGAGACACGCTTCCGGCGCACCTTCTCCGACCTGGCCGCTCAGCTACACGTGACCCCAGGCTCAGCCCAGCAACGCTTCACCCAGGTTTCCGATGAACTTTTCCAAGGGGGCCCCAACTGGGGCCGTCTTGTGGCATTCTTTGTCTTTGGGGCTGCCTTGTGTGCTGAAAGTGTCAACAAAGAAATGGAGCCCCTGGTGGGACAAGTGCAGGATTGGATGGTGGCCTACCTGGAGACGCGCCTGGCCGACTGGATCCACAGCAGTGGGGGCTGGGTAAGGAGCTTCTCAATTGCTGCCCTACGCATCCCTCTGCAGAGCTGGTCTTCATGGGAAAAAGGGGGGCCTCCGATTGGAGGCTGGGGCATTTGTGCTGGGAAGGAGCCATCGGGGCCGAGGTCCCCTGTTTAAGTGGAATCAGACTGAAAGCATCAAGCTAACTGTACCCCAGGGCTGCCATGCAGTCATCACTGGATGGGTTTCATGGTCCCCAGCAGAAGACCGAATCTAGAGTTTTATAAACGGAACCCAAAGAGAGCCTCCAGGGAAAAGGTGTGGCCCCTGAGTGCACAGCCTGGACCGTGGGGAGGACCAGGGATGGGGTGCGGTCAGGCAAGCCTTAGCAAAGGATACCAGTTCTGGGCAGAATTGTCTGCCAGGGAAAGGATGGGGCTCACTTGATGCAGACAGTTCAGCGGGGCCAAAATGCCCTGGGCAGGGAGCTGGGGGGTTCCTTGTAGGCGGTAGAGCTCTGGCTAGAGGGGCTGGGTGTGGGCGGTGCTCACAGTGGATGGAACTGGAACTCTTCCTTCCCTCTTCTCTCCACTCTCCTTTCCTGATACCCCTCTCTCCTTCTTTCTCTACTTCCCCTCTCTCCCACAGGCGGAGTTCACAGCTCTGTACGGGGACGGGGCCCTGGAGGAGGCGCGGCGGCTGCGGGAGGGGAACTGGGCATCAGTGAGGACAGTGCTGACCGGGGCCGTGGCCCTGGGGGCCCTGGTTACTGTCGGGGCCTTTTTTGCTAGCAAGTGAGCAAGTCGAGGGCCAGGTGGGGCTAGGTGTAGCCAGGGGCCAGGAGAGCTGGAGCAGAACAGAGAATGCCCTTGGAAGAAATTGGATGGTCATGGATCAGAGAAGGGCAGGGAAGGTAGTGTGTGGGGGAGCCGAGCATGCCAGGCAGATGGCAAGAAGAAACATTAAAGAATGTTTCAAGGCCAGGAGCCCAGGAGATGGAGTCGTCCCAGGGCTTGGGGGGAGGTGGGAGGGATCATGCCCATAGCGGGGGCACACAGGCTCCAGGGAAGGTGAACTTATTTAAAGAGTTGTGTCCCCGTTAGATGAATGGGGTTTCAGGAACCTAGAACTCACCTCCCTTTGGAATGGAAGCTTGGTGGTCAGGTGGCTGGATGAAATGGCTGTGGCTGTGGGCTGCATGGGCACACGTGTGCATGTTGGACATGCACGCTTGCTCATGTGCATGCTGGGCTGTTGGTCGAATCTGGTGATGGGAAAATTTAGAGAAAACATTCCTTCTTGCCGTGGCAAGAACAAGGGCCAGTTCACTGCCCTTCCCCCTCTGGCCCTACCCTTGACCTTACGCCTCCAGGCTGAGGGGCGACTACTGTATCTAGATGAGGGCTCTGGCACTGCTCAGAGTTTTTGGCAAGGCTGTGGAGAGAAGAGTTCTGCCGCTGGCCGCCTTCATCGCCCTCTGTGTGCATCTTTGACGGGGGCTGACAGGGTGAGGCTGTGGAGCCTGGCTGGGTAGCAGCTTTGGTAATTGGACCTGCCTGCCACCTTCCCCTCCAATGGGGGCATAATGGTGCCTAAAGTGTTGCCTATTTCTAGGACCTCTCTATCCAGCAGAAACTCTAAATCGGGGCTCTCGTTTTCCTTTAGAGGATGTGGACGTACATGCTGAACTAGAATTCAGATTGTTTGGGTCCTGAACTGTCTCAGTGAGACTGCCAATGCCTTGAGAGGACCATTCCAGCTCTGAGCCCCTTGGGTGGGACGGTGACAGATACTCCTTGACCGGCCTGTTCTGTGCGGTGGGTTTTGGTGCTGCTGTAGCAAGGGCCAGGTGTATGCCATGACCTAAACACATTTATGATGTTTCTTTTGAAGCCGTGCTCTTTGCCTAGGCGTTGTCAATACTGAGTCTCTGAAGATGCTCGCAGGAGAACTCACAGCCCAGTGCTCTCGAACAAACCCAGACTCGAGCTTTTTCTTTTGAGGGACAGATTACTCACTCCAAATGCATGCCCTGAGCCAGACCTCACTGCTGCACTTTCTGAGATGCTAATGTTGCTGCTGCTCAATGCTGACTCCGTTCACAGTGCTCTAGAACCCTACCTGTGATCCTGAGCACTGACCGGCTTAGCTAGACCACAACTGACTCGACTACTTCTCACTTGGTCCTAGAATGTGGCATCATATTGTGCTTGCTAGAATGTGGGACCAAATTGGCCTCAGGTGTTTAGTCCAGACTTTTGCTTTGGAGAGGGTTGCACTTTTTCCTAGTGTCTATGGGGGATGTGATAGGCCGCATGTGCCAGTTGGTCTGTTTCGAGTGTGCTCATCTAAGAAACTCAGAGCTATCTGTAGCAAGCAGTTGGAGTGGGAGGCTCGGCCTTGCTCAGGACAAACTAGGCCAGTGGTTTTCAAACTGCTTGGCAGGGCCCCGAAGTGTTCTAGGGGTTGCCTCAGGAGTCCTTCAGGAGATGAGGGGGTGGAGGGCTGCACAGGCTGGGCGATTTGCCCTCAGACAGAACAGCTCCCCTTGTAGCTGTCTTATGTATCGGGGTTCAGGGTAAGATTTATTTGTGGTAAGGGCTTTGCTGCTGGAAAAAGGTTGGAAAGCCACTGACTAGACCATCAGCTCCAGCTGGAGCTGCACTCCTCCAGGTTCAGGGAAGACCCCGCTCCGCCCTTCCCACAGGACATCTGCCCGAGTTAGCACTCCCGGAGGCCTTCAGCCGACAGGAGCAGCGGAGCCATGGTCAGGTCACCACCATGCTCGGCTCTCGGGCCTTCACACAGGGTGGAAGGAGAGGCCGTGTTAGGGGAGGGGAAAGGCCTTGGTCTGGATTCCCGGGAGCTCAGCTGAGGGACCACAGTGGGGAGTTGTGACCTGTTCTGCCCTTTCTTTAAGGGCCAGTGGCAACCCAGAGACTCTCCTGTCAGGGAAAACCAGGGACTGTCTTTAGAGCCATATAGTTCCTTTGGATTAACTCTTGGCCAAGAGGGCTGAGTATGGCTCCCAATTTCTAAATCCATTTCATTTTTTTTTTTAAATGAGGGAAATGGATATAATTTTTCAAAGACTAAATAGGTGGAGAGGATGTTCTTGCTCTCCAAAGCCCAAAGGGACAAATAGGGACTTTGCTTTATAGGCCAAGGAAAGAGCGGAAGTGGGGCGACTCAGCCCTGCGACTGTTAATCCCACTCTCCACTTACACTAGGGCATACATATACTATTTTACTTTTTTAAATCATAAACGGCAGGAGAACAGATTTGGTTAGTTTAGAAGAAGAGAAAAAGCTCTATAAATATAAATATATATTCCTGTATTTTTATTTAATAATTTATAAATGCCAAGTTCATTTGACTTTTATTTTTGTGTAATATGTAATGGTCGTATTAAAAATAAATAAATAAAGCCCAGAAATTTAATGAGAAGTACTGAACAGGGTTTTGTGACTTCTATACCGTACAGCCTGGGTTTTAGAACATTCCTTAAACCAGTCATTTCTTATGACCATGACCTTGCTAAGGGAAATAATTAGAGTTACAGGGATTTGGGGAAGTATTAAGTTAAAAAGAAAGAAAGAAAGAAAAAAACAAAAACATAAAAAACAACCACAACACCCTACGGTGGCCAAACACCCAAGCCTAAGAATTCTGTACCAACCAGAGTCTCAAGAAGGTATAGGCATATGGTACATTGGGAGCCCCCTACACACACCAACCCCTCCCCAATATTCTGCCTTGGGGTGGTGGCAATCAACTGCAATCCAGCAGGACAGGTGGAGACAGGAAGGTTGCCCACCCAGGTACATAGTGAGTTCAAGGCCAGCCAAGGCTTCACGAGACTTTGACTCTAAAATCATCAGAAAGCAAAAGGGTAATTAATGAATGGAGGTCATGATGAATAAGTAATATTCTCAAATACAAAAGCTAAGCTGAGGCCAGCCTCATCTACAAAACAAGTTACAGGACAGCCAAGGCTACACAGAGAAACCCTCTCTTGGAAAACAACAACAAAAAAGCTAGGCTGTGAACTCAGCTATGAGTTTCTTGGCAGCCAAAGCAATCTGGAAAACAGTGAGATTCAAAGCTTTACAGTTACTCAGAAGGCAGAGTTTTCTGAAAAGATACTTAGTAACATAATTGATGGCAAATAGAGTATTTTATATCCCTGTTCTTTTAGAAATACCAAGTGGGGATCCAGACAGTCTTAGGTTTGCTCTATTAGCCTCATTACAGTTTAGTCCAAATGTAGTAACATTATGATGGTCTGATCGCTAAACTTCAGACTGTCTGCAGGGACACACGACTGTTTCTATAGCCCTCTGTAAATGCCAATCATCCAGATCATTCAGATGATCTGTTAACAAAGCTGGGCAACACTTGTTACAGTTTCTGACCACTGTGAGGGCAGGGAGGTTGGGTTGGGGTAGATCTGCCTCATGCTGTAGTTCTAGAGCACCTAGGTGAAGGACCTCGAGTGTAGGTCTGGCTGGGACTACACGTCAGTTCCAAGCCAGCCCACGCTGCAAGATAAGACTCATCGCCAGGGGAAAGAACAAAACCAAAACCCTACAGTTTCTGACAAATGGTTAGATTATAGATACTCTTTATAAATTTTTTGTTTGTGTTTTATTTATTTATTTATTTATTTATTTATTTATTTGAGACAGGATTTCTCTGTGTAACTCTTCTGGCTGTCTTGGAACTCACTCTGTAGACCAGGCTGGCCTTGAACTCCAAGAGATCCGCCTGCCTCTGCCTCCCAAGTGCTAGGGTTAAAGCCATCACTGCCTGGCTTCTTTTCTCTTTTGAAACAGGATCTTGCTTGTAGTCCAGGCTAGCCACAGACTCAGTTTCTGGATTCCAGGTGTGTACCACCATGTCTGGCTGAATTCTTTAAATGTGGTTATGGGGAGCTATATAAGTAATAAAAACACAACCAGAATCTAGATGTGATGCTGCCAGTTTATAATCCCAGCATTTGGGAAATAAAGGCAGGAGGATCAGTAGTTCAGTGTCCTGCTCAACACATACATAAGAGACAACAGAAAATTTGAGCAGGAAATACAATATAATGAACTATATGGTGGCTTTCATTCATCATTCACTCAGAGAAAATGTTCAGATATTTTCTGTGTATTTAGTACAGCTCTAGGCATGCAGGCAAAGAGAATGGAAAGATACACCTCAGCTCACATGTTGCTTACACTATAGTAAGGGAATCAAAATTTTCCTAACGTGTTAGAAGATAGCAAATACTATGAAGAAAGATGGCACACACCTTCATCCTGGCACTAGGGAGGCAGTGGCAGGCAGATCTCTGGTAGTTCAAGGCCAGCCTGGCCTACATGTGAAACCCTGTCTAAAAATATTTTAAGTAAAGAAAAGCAAGGTTGGAAATAAGTAGATATTCTAATTTTAAATCAAATGGTCAAGGGAAACTCTCATGTCCAAGGTAACAAACCATGAATGGTATAATTGAAAATATACATTTATTAGCATATAAGAAACTTTCTGTATTTTCCTGTAAAAGTCAGGAAAATAGTGTGTAAGTGTGAAATATCACACTGTGTGTGTGTGTGTGTGTCTGTGTGTCTGTCTGACTTCCCTATTTAAATGAAGACTTCAACAAGGGTAGATCAAGATACCATTTATGGTTTTGTCTAGTGGGTAGATTTTGTTCTTTCTGCTATCAGTATTTTCTGATTGGGGGGGTAATGAACATAAATATCTGATATAGCACCTTAAAGTTTTTCAGATAGAAAGTTTTTAAAAAGTCAACCAGTCAAGCCCTGTGGGGGCATATAAATACAAATATATATATATATATATATATATATTTCCAATCTCAGTGTTCCCAGGAGCGGGAAGAGAACTAAAAATTGGGGGCCAGTCTGTCTACATGAGTTCTAAGCCAGCAGGGCTAAATAGGCAGACCTTTTATCAAAAACTTAGCCACTCAGTGGGTTGGTGAGATGGCTCAGTAGATAACAAGGCTTGCCACCATGCCTGGTAACCTAAGTCCCATCCCACATGGAAGAAAGGTTGTACAGAGTCCCAAAAGTTGCCCTCTTACCTCTACAGAAGTGCCAAGACGCATGTGTTCCCCACCTCAAATAAATAATGTAAAAAAAAAAAAAAAAAAAAAAAGTTAACCAATCATTGAAGCTAAAGAGGTGGCTTATTGGCTAAGAGCATTTGCTGTCGATTGTGAGGAAGAGAGTTCGGATCCCAGGATCTGTGTCAGGTAGTTCACAACTGCCTGTAACTCCAGCTCCAGGACATTGATCACCCTCTAGTTTCTGTGGGCACCAGAACACACAGATGCACACATAAATAAAATGTTTTAAAAGTTATCCAGTCAAGCTGGGCAGTGGTGGCGCACGCCTTTAATCCCAGCACTCGGGAGGCAGAGCCAGGCGGATGGATATCTGTGAGTTCGAGGCCAGCATGGGCTACAGAGTTCCAGGAAAGGCACAAAGCTACACAGAGAAACCCTGTCTTGAAAAACCAAACCAAAACAAAACAAAAAGCTATCCAGTCAAAACTGAAATTAAGCAGCCCTTTCTCATTTAAATGGCCATTCTACTTCTGAGCAAGGTCTGAGCTAAGATGTTAATGCACGCAAGTCCAGACCACATTAGAAGATACCAGGGTCTCTGTGAAAGAGGGATGAGGAGCTGGACAGATAGCTCAGCAATTAAGAGTGTTTACTGGCCAGGTGGTGGTGGTGGTGGAGTGATGACACACGCCTTTAATCCCAGCACTACAGGAGGCAGAGGCAGGGGGATCTCTGTGAGTTCGAGGCCAGCCTGGTCTACAGAGCAAGATCCAGGACAGGCTCCAAAACTACACAGAGAAACCCTGTCCCGAAAAAGCAAAACAAAAATAAAGTGCTTACTGCTCTTGCAGAGGACCTGGGTTCACATCTCAGCACCCACAGAGCAGCTCACAACTACCTATACTTCCAGTTCCAGGGAATCTGATATCTTCTCTGGCTTCGGGGGGG